CCCCCGGGGGAAATCATATAAAAAAAAGGGTCTCTGGGGACCCAAGGTACTGGCCCGGGAGGTTAAGATGTCGACAGCAGAACATTAAACCAAGTGTGGGGTCCTTCTACGTGCAGGCTACGTACGTGGGTCAAGACTGAGTTTCGGGACTCTCGAAACTAGCCCTGGGCTTGTTCCCAGTACAAACACCGACTGGCACTGAGAAAGGGCTTTAGGACTGCTGCCTAGGAGACACAGAGAGAGGGCACGAGCCCCATTCTGTACTGAAGTTCGGAGGCAGCTGATGGTGTGCCTCGTCAGACCCAGCTCTCGTGACCTGCAGAGCTGAGACGTGAACACAGACCAGCCTGGTGCCAATACCCTGCGCCTTGTCCTCTGGCTCCCCTGGGAGGTTTAGAAGACCTGGCCCCAAGGGCTGAGTTTAGTCAACAAGGCTGAGATGCGGCTCAGCCCAGAGAGAGGGAGCTAAGGGAACTAGGACCGGCCCCCCCCCCGCCCTCCTGGGGCAAGTCATATAAACAACAGGCTCTCTGGGCACCAAGGCTACTGCCCAGGGAGTAGGGAGAGGGCAAAAGGGCACTCCTGAGAAGGCGCTTCCTTAGGGACATAGACCCCAGCTGTACTGTCTCGAACTCTGACCCCGGCTCCTCTGCTTAAAACCCTTTAGGGCTGCCATTAGCCTCTGCTGGACCCTGGAGATCTGTCCTGGCTGCAACAGAGGCAGGGTCCTGCTTCCTTTCTCTCTTCTCCTCCCTGCCCTTCTCCTCTTGTCCAGGTACCCTGAGCTCAAGGTGTGAAAAGCCCAAACTTGCGAAGGGAAGAGAACCATCCCCCTGCCAGTCCCGAGCTGGGAACTGTACATCCGGTTGCTACATCTAAGCCCCTAGCCACCTTCTGGATGGAGCGGGCAGTAGGGGCATACACTATCCCATTGCCATGGCGTACTGGGGCTCAGAAGTTGAGGCCACCCGCCTGAAGTGACAGCAGGTTAGATGAGGAGGACACAGGATTTGAACCCTGCTCTGTCTGATGCTCAAGTACCTGGTCTCTTCTCTGCCTCTGTGACTCACCACTCCCAGCCAGCTCACCTCCAAGCACAGAGCAGTTGTTTCTAACCCACGCCCCGGGCTTGCACAGCCCAGCTGGGGCTGGCCAAGCCCCTCAGTCAGGTCTGCAGTACACAAGTACAGGAGACAGCCAGGCAGCGAGACCCAGTGTAGGAGTCACCCCAGCTCCGGGTCAACAAAATGCCAATGTGGGAGAAGCACCTCCAGGCTGCCAGACATTAGTAGGCAGACACCCCTGCTGTCAACAAAGTGCCAGGGCAGGAGGTGCACCCTGCACCCCAAGTCAGCAGAATGCTAGCAGGAGAGACACTGCCACCGTCAGCAAAAGGCCAGTGTGAGGCACTTCCCTGCTCCCCCTCCACCCTGGCTACAGGCTTGGGGTGCTCAGAGTCCTCCAAGGTGGTGCTCCGGGGTGGGCAGAGGCAGTGAGCAGCTGCTGCCGGGAGGGAGGAGGCTGTGGCTGGGGAGTGTGCAGACTCAGGTAAGAGTTCTCACATGGCACTAATGAAATCAACCACTAGCCTGCCCCTCTCTCCCCAGGGACCCTCCAGGCTCCAGCTGATGCAATGCCCAGGCCAGATAATTGTTTTCCTCCCTTCTTAAAGGGCCAGCTGCTATTGCAGCTGCAGACATCACTGAGACCCCTGACAGACCCTATAGAGTTCAGTACTTGGGCAGGGAGAGGAGGAGCCCAGAGATTAGCCGCTTCTGGCCTGGGCTCCGCAGAGTAAAATCCAATTAATGTCCAGAGACCAGAAGTGTTGGTGAGCAGGGAGGGGGGAGAGAAAGAACAGTGAAGACAGTGACAGAGACCACATGCCGGAGGAAAGGGACTGTGGTCCCTGCTGGGTCTTCCCAACCGTGCACCCACTCCGGCAGTACTCGGCAATTTCCCCCGAGCTCTCCTGAGTGCCAGGCACCGTGTTAGGCAGCTCAGGCCCACCATTTCCTCTACTGCTCTCAGCAGACCTCACAGGGCGCGTGTGCCCAGCTCTGCTTCGTGAAAGAGGTTCTGAGAGGGGAAGTGATTTCCTTAATATCACACAGCCAGAAAGTGGCAGACTGGCTTCTAAGCCCTGTTTATCGGACTCTGGACTTCGAACCCTAGCAAGGGTCAGGTCAGTGTAGAACCCAAGGGTTGGAAGTCCCTGAGCCAGGCCCCTCTGCACGGAGGGCAGTGAAGGGCTCCGGGCCCTGATCAAACTCAGAATGGCATGGCACTTGGTCTCAGCATAGCACGGGCCCCCTCCCCAGCAGGCCCCCCATCAGCCACCACCCCCCACCCCCAACCGA